TTTATTCTATTTTCTTCCCCCCCCCCCCCTTCCACATTATCTTTTTCTTGATTAGGTCACCGCTACCCTCCCCTAACCACTTAAACTCCGGTTAGGGTTTTCTTAGGGTTTTTCTAGGGTTTAGGGTTCTTTTAAAACCCCTACTCTCCCGCCTCCTCCCGTCGGACACCCTGGACCCGAACGGCTCCTCCCCCCTCGAGCGATTTGGCGCGTCATTCTCACGCGCGACCCGCCAAATCCGGGGTGAGCCGACTCACACATACTCACTCCGCTCCCGCGGTCCCCTCCCTCTTACCAGCGGGCCCCTCTCCCCACACACACCCGTGAGCTCTACCTCCCTTTCCCTTCCGACCATGGAAGGGAGTTCCTTTGAGGAGATCACCGCGGCGCCGTCCACCTCCCAGGTGAGCGTTCAGCCAGCGGGTCAGGGTCAGGCCCATGCGGACACGATGGACCTTCATGCCACCCTCGTAACGATTCAGGCGCAACTTAGTACGCTTGGACCGTTGCAAGCGCAAATCAATGCGCTTGCCCTTGACGTCAACCACCTCAAGGGCTCTCCTCATCACTCTCCCCACCGCTCCCATACCCCATCCCCTACCGGCTCCGAGTCCGGCTCCCCACGAGTCCAGAGTCGGAGACATCGTGGTTCCCCCTCCTCTACGGGTCAGGCCCAACACTCCCCCGCAGCAGTGGCGAGTGCTGCTGCCGCTCAGACCACCCCGTCTGTTGCGGCAGTTCTCCCGGCCACGGCCGCCCCTACCGTCTCTACTACTGTCGTAGGTGCTGTGGTCCAGGTACCGCCTCGAGGCCCAGCAGTTTCATCAACCCACACCGGTGTTGTTTCCCAGCTTCCCGCACCGGTCGCGGCAATACGGCTCCGCCCTCTTCTTCCCGCCTTTGTCCCCCCACCCCCACAGCAGGGTACCGCCCAGGCTGGGATTCCTCCTCCCACTGGGAGACCCGCTCCGCCCCCTCCACCTCCGACCCCACGCACCCAGCGCGTGGCCACTTTACAGGCCACCATTGCGCAGGCTCAGGCGGAGATTCTCGCTCTGAGACAGCCTCACCCATCACACGCTGCCCACCCTTCTTCCTCTACCACCCCTTCGGTCCCCATGATGCAGGCTCGTTTCCCTCGACCTTCTCCTCAGCCTCTTCCCTCCTACCTGGCTATTCCGGGACAGCTGCCCGCGGTCGTTGCCTCCTCGCCTGCTGGTCCATCCGCTAGCGGCCACGGCCCACAGCCTTCCCTCACCTCTGCCCCTGCAGCGACCTCAACTTACGCTGCCGCAGTGCACTCGCCTCGATCTCTCTCCCCCCGCCATCAGCACAGTGGACATGCTCCTGTGCGCACCACGGACATTCCCGAGTATGATGGCACAACCCGTGTCTCTCGCTGGTTGCAGATAGCAACGAGCACGCTCTCTATGACGACCACCCGTCAGGAGTTGTGGTGTGATGTGCTCGCAACCAAATTGCGAGGTAGCCCTTCCACTGCGTGGGAGGATCATTATACCCAGCGCCTCCGCGTGGGTGAGGCCCCCACTCTGGCCGACTTCGCGGCCTTCCTTCAGGACCATTTCGGCGCTCGTCATGACGTCACCGACGCCTTAGACCACGTCACCCAGACCAGATGGTCCAGGTCCTCTGTACCGGCCGACTTGGAACGTCACATCCGGGTGTTTCAGGACGCTCGCCTTGTTTGTGACGAGACGTTCCTACCGGAGGTCACACTCACCGACCGGTTCCTTGTCAGCCTGCCGACTGACTATCGCCTAGAGCTATGGAGGCGATCATTCTCTTCCGCAAGCAGGCATACGAGGCTGCGCGTCAGTACCAGAGGATGTGCAGTCGCTTCTCCGTCGCCCCATCCTCTTCGCGGCCAGCCGCCACCTCTCAGTCTCGGGGTACCACCCGAGGTCGCTCCTCGTTTGCTGGTCGTTTTCGTCGCCCGACCCGCCCTGGAGCGTCATTCTCTCAGYGCTACAGTTCTCTGGAGTACGGCGAGGACGCCTCGGCCGAGKTTGACCCTACCCTTGGGGACGCCCCCGAGGACATCGAGCTACGAGACGTCATCCAGTATCACTTGGATGACGACACTATTCCGGTGGCCGAGCGCTTGCTGATGGCCATGTCTGCCATGGGTCGTGCTCGTAGTCGGGTTGCACAGGCTGGCTCCCGCACACCCACGGTTCCTCAGATAGACCTCCCGCAGGGTTATGTCCCTCCTCGCGGACCTCTATCCCCTGAGGAGTGTGCCGCCCTCGAGGCCCGGCGCGGCTGCCTTCGTTGCCACCTAGATGGACACACCTCCTCACGGTGTCCATACCATACCGCCCTTGATCGGCACTACGCTGACATCTCTCGTCAGCGTCGATCTCAGTCCCCCCCCGGCCCCGCCCGGCCAGCCCCATCCACCTAGCCACGGTGCACTGTGCCCCTGAGGCCTCGCACGTAGCCGGCTTTCCAACCACCGAGTCGCATTTGCCCCTTTGGCTACCCCACCAGAGGACCCTCAGGACACGATAGACGCAATTCTCTCCGCCCCATCGTCTATCGAGGTACCGTCTGCCTCCCAGCAGACTGCCGCATCTAGCGCTTCTCGCTTGAGACTTCCGACGCGTCGCGCCATTCGCACARCCCGTTGTGGCGCTCAACTGGCGACTCGCGATGACGTTGTGTCATCTCTCCTGGACTTTAGCATTCTGCAGGCTCGTCAGGAGCGCCTCACGAGACACATCAACGTCCTGCGTCGTCTTCTCGCCTTGCTCTCTGACCCTGATCGCACCCTACCCATCATCCCTATTCGCCTAGGGACATCTACGAGGGTGTACCGCGCTTTATGGGACTCTGGCTCGCAGGGAGATTTCGTTCACCCTCGAGTGGTTGAGGAAGCTCGCCTAGCTACCTCTGGGTCTCGCTCTCCTATCTCYGTTACCCTCGGAGATAACAAGACGCAGCGCTTCTTCGATCAGACGGTCCCCGACCTCCACTTCTCCCTCACCCTCCAGCCACCGGATAGTACCCAAGCGCCTCGGCGCTACCATTCCCCCGCCTACTTCGACGTGCTGGAGACTGGGTACGACTTTATCCTTGGCACTCCCTGGTCTCGCCGGTTCCATAGCACAGAGGCCGAATGGGCGTTTGAGACACTCATTCTCAAAACGAAGTGTGGTCAAACCCATCGAGTCCCCTTCATTGGAACCACGGGCGACACCCCTCCAAACCTACCTCCCCAGGACCCTCGTCCTTCTGGGTCCCACCCAGACATCTCCTTCACTTCTCCCCGTCAGTTTGCTCACTTCATCCGACAAGAGGACGTCACGCTCTACTCAGTGAACGTCATGGATCTTCTTCACTACGATCTACTCTGTCCCGAGGTTGAGCTCATCTCACTGGAGCCCGATCCCCCTGACCCTTCCTCCATCTTCGCGGCTCCCATCTCTACATCCACCCCGCAGCCTGCGGATACCCCCTCGACATCCCAGGTTTCTACGCCGTCCACTGCCGAGTCCACCCATACGTCTCGTGCCGACGCAGACGTTGAGGAACTCATGAGGTTCACGGCTGACTTAGAGCCCATCATTCGCGACCTGATTCGGGAGTACCACGACGTCTTCCCCCCATATTTCTCATACAGCGGGATTCCCCCGATGCGCGGTGTCGAGCATTCCATCTAGCTCGTGCCTGACTATCGTGTTCACCATCAAGCACCATACCGACTCTCGATTCCAGAGGCGACGGAACTCAAGCGTCAACTTGAGGAGCTCCTTCGACTTGGTTTCATTAAACCTAGTAACTCYCCTTGGGGTGCACCTGTCCTCTTTGCTCGCAAAGCGGACGGAACTCTCCGCCTCTGCATCGATTATCGCGGCCTTAACCGTTACACGGTTAAGAACAGCTATCCCATGCCCCGCGCGGATGAGCTGTTTGACCGTCTGGCATGCAACCGCTTCTTCACGAAGATCGATCTTCGTAGCGGTTACCACCAGATCCGCGTTGCCGCAGAGGACCAGCCGAAAACCGCCTTTCAATCGCGCTTCGGCCACTACGAGTTCACGATGATGCCATTTGGCCTCACCAATGCACCCGCCACCTTCCAGACGGCGATGAACGACATCTTCAGGGACATCCTTGAAGAATACGTTTTCGTATACCTGGATGACATCTTGGTCTACAGTCGTACCTTAGAAGACCATATCAGACACCTCCGCGATGTCCTACAGCGCTTACGCAAGCATGGCTTCTATGCCAAGCTCAGTAAGTGCCGCTTTGCCCAACGCAAAGTAGACTTCCTAGGACACCATGTGTCTGACCAGGGTCTCCACATGGACGACGCGAAGATCACTGCTATTGCAGAGTGGCCCGTCCCCACATCTGCCAAGCAACTTCGCAGCTTTCTAGGCCTCACCAGCTACTATAGTAATTTTATCCAGGGATACGCTAGGTATTCCTACGTCCTTACCTCCACCCTCCTCCGGAAGAACCCGCCGTGGTTTTGGACACCCCTCTGCGAGGACGCCTTCCGCGCCCTCAAGAAGGCGGTGACTTGCGCGCCGGTTCTTCGCCTTCCCGATTTTGATCGTCCCTTTATCGTCACCACCGATGCGTCAAATTTTGCAGTAGGAGCTGTCCTTTCTCATGTGTTTCCCTCTCCTCCAGATTCACCTGAGCCCCATGTTCCTCCTTCCCCCCCCCCTCCTGCTGACACTGCTTCTCGACTGACGCCTATCCTACCACCACTTCCCTCCATTGACAGTCCTCCCATTACTTACTCTCCGACCATCGCGGAGGATGGGACTGTCGAGGCTCGTGTTGGGGATTGCTCGATCGCTTTCTACTCCCGTCAGCTACTACCTGCCGAGATAAACTACACTGCCGATGAACGTGAGGTTCTCGCAGTAGTTTATGCTACCTGGCATTGGCGTCATTATCTGCACGGGGCGCCCTTCACGGTGCGCACGGACAACTCAGTTGTCCAGGCTTTCCTCACGAAGCCTAAGCTCTCCCCTCGACAGGCACGCTGGTGGCGTGACTTATCCGAGTTCAGTTTCACCACTCAGCCCATCTAGGGTGAAACGAACCGCGTCGCCGATGCTTTGTCCCGCCGTCCTGATCACAATCAGGAATCCATCCATCTTGTTGCCATCTCCATCACCAGTGTTGATCAGTCGGTGATCGACGCGTATCGCACTCAGTACCGCCACTGCCCCGATTATCGTGTCATCCACGCGACACTGCGGAGTGGCAAGACCGTTCCTTCCTACTCCCTCGGGGAGAGCGGCCTCGTGTACTGGCATGGCAGGTCTGGTCAGCTAGAACCACGTATCTGCGTTCCCTCCACCGGACAGCTCCACGTCCAGGCTGTAGCAGAGTTCCATGACCAGGCAGCTGCCGGTCATATGGGTTTCCACAAGACGTTGGCTCGTGTTTGCCGCCTATACGTCTGGCCGAAGTCCAAGGACTTTGTCAAAGCCTACATCCAGGAGTGTCCTACCTGCCAGGAGGTGAACAGTGCGAACCACCTTCCGTATGGGTTACTTCAGCCCCTACCCATACCTGAAGGTCGTTGGCAGTCTATCTCGATGGATTTCATTGGTCCCCTCCACCCACCCACTCAGCGCGGTCATGATGCTATATTTGGTCGTCGTCGATCACTTCACGAAGCGCGCACGTTTTGTTCCGTGCCGCTATCGCATTAGCGCTCGTAAGGTCGCCGACATAGTCTTCGACCGAGTCGTGAGAGATCACGGCTTACCTCAGAGCATCATCTCCGACCGTGACCCGCGCTTTACCAGCACATTCTGGCGACGCCTACACGAGGTGTACGGATTCCATCTCCGCTTCTCATAGTCTTACCACCCTCAGACGGATGGTTAGACTGAGGTCACCAACAAAACTCTCGGTAGTATCCTCCGAAAGTTTGTTAAGGATGACCAGCAGTGGGACTTACACTTAGCCCACGCGGAGATTGCGTACAACCACGCTGTTTCGCCAGCCACGGGGATGTCGCCATTCTATTGCGACCTCGGCTACCACCCTCGCGTACTTGCGGATTTCCTACGACCATCGCAGTTGGGCCCAGACACTCGTTGCCCTGCGCTTGACGACTGGATCGCCCACATGGCGGCGATTATGAAGTGCGCACACGAGAGTTTAGCCGACTCCCAGACTCGCATGGCCGCACGAGCGAACCGATCACGAATGGATCATCCATTCAAAGTCGGTGACGATGTGCTCGTCGACGCACGCCACTTACAGCTCAAAGCAGATATGCTTCGCAAGTTCAGGCGTCGTTTCTTCGGTCCATGCCGCATCCTTCAGGCCGTCGGCTCTGATACTACCGCTAGTCCGGTCAGCTTCCGTGTGAAGCTACCTGATTACCTTCGACAGACTCGCGTACACGATGTTTACCACGTCTCCTTGCTGCGTCCTTATCGCAGACCGTCCGAGCGCTTCGCCGGACGCCCTTATGAGCGCCCTCCACCTATCATGGTGGACGGTCACGAGGAGTTCGTTGTTTCCGACATCGTATCACGCCGAGTTACCGACTATACCCCTCCACGCATCGAGTACCTTGTGCGTTGGAAGGGCTACCCTGATGAGGAGGCTACTTGGGAGCCCCTCGAGCACTTGCAGCACGCCAGGATGTTGGTGCGTGCATATGATCGTGCTCGTCGTGCTGGGACATCTGCTTCTACTCAGCCGACTGACCCTCTTCCTCCTCCTCCGGCTGAGGAGATCGCTGAGGATGAGCCCGCTYCCTCTGAGGCCGTTCCTCAGCCGCAGATGGTYGCCTCCRAGCGTCCACAGCGCACTCATCGTCGCCCTTCAYGTTACGATGACTGACACTCTTATCCTCCATCTTTCCCCACTGACTCACACCATCAGGTACTYCATCATCARCTCTTCTTCAGGATGTCARCGTTTTGCGGCTCTGCTTCGACATCGACTCGACTGCTACTTCATCGACGTCATCGACCGATTCGACGACTTCAGCTACCTTATCGGCTTCAGCTWCTTTGGACGTGACTACTTCACGCCACCACCCTACCCTATACATTCCCTTGCATCTGTCGCATGATGGTTCTCACTTAGCTGGGTCTCTTTGAGTTGGGCTCTCCCTTGGTATCGCATAGGCATTGGGACCGTAGCGTTATCTTGGCTTCCCTGGTCCCAGATCTAGCTCCTTCCTCCCCCAGTCGGTGAGTTGTGTGCATGTTTTTCTCACTCACTGCCCTCATCACCCTAGTGCCGGACCTTGCATGCCTTGAGTTAGGCATATCTCCACCCTATTCCAGGCTCCCCCTTTTCATGGTCGACCTTGCATGGTGTCACCCTTGTCGAGCATTACCCGCCTTGATGGTCTATCTGTTAGGGTCATTGGTTTTGTTTTGCTACCACTCTCCCACCTTGAGCCTGATGACCTATCCCACCTTCATGTGTGACTGCCCTTAGGAGTTTCGATTCTTAGGCTGCATTCACCCCCTCTGAGACCATCCCACTTTTAGTGGTTCAGCGACATGACATTATCTTGTTTCATATTGCTCTTCTCCTTTCAGCACTGAGGCCACTGCCTCCAGGACTTTAGGAGTGTATCATACTACATTTCATTTTCTGTTGTTAGCTAGGATATATATACCAGACATTTGTTTTTCTTTTGACATTATATAGCGTAGGATGCATCGCATGGACTCTGCATGAAGCTTGCTCCGCATCCTAATTTCTCAGCTTTCTTTATTGCAGAGTTTCGCTGCTTTTGCGGATAGCGTGTTTATGGCTCTTGCGATCCATTACAGGTCTGAGGATCGTGCAGCGGGCCTTCATCTGCCCTGGCCCACAGTCAGGGCCTATTTGGCTATTTGCCAGTCCGGCCTATGGGACCAAGCCGTGGCCTGACCCCACAGGTCGTGCGGTTATTCAGTCCAGTCCAGCCCTGCCCGGTACCACTGTCGGTACCAGGCCAGTCCAGTCCAGTCCAGTTAGTCCGTTGGGGGTATACCCCAGTTGCAGCCTGTTTTGTGGCTCATTCTTCATTTGCACAGATTGGTGTACGTGCGTGTTGAGTCTGCGTTGGAGCTGCGTTGTCCCTTCCAGCTCCAGCTCCATCTCCCCCATCCTCATCCCTTCGTCTTGATCCTGACGGCCGCCATCCCGGCGGGTCCGTCACAATGGATGCACCTACGCGCCTTCTAGTAGAAGATTCATTCGAGTTTTATCGTCACCATCGAAGGTAGAAGCATGAGACGAGTTGGGGAAAGGGAGGAGGTTGGAGACTTACCTACTGGTAGCTGCACTGCGCATCCTATCGAGAAGAAGTAATCCCCCTTTATCTCTCTGCATGAGCGACTGATAGGCAGTGTATGCTCCCACGTTCTAGTGAAAGATTCACTTCTTACTTTGCACGAAAGATCATCGTGTGGCTTGGAGCTTGGCAGGATCGACGCTGGTCATCATCAAGATGCCGGTGGTGAGAGGTGGGCTCGTCGTCCCAACCCCGTTACGAACAGCGTAGGTACTTCCGCACGACAGAGAGAGAGAGGGAGGACTCACCATGACTAGCTACGTACGAGAAAACTTGTGGCAAGTGTCGATGTACCTGGTGGGGGTTTAGTGGGAGATTCATTCCAATTCTGCTCATACCATCGAAAGCAGTAACGTGAGGCGAACCTTGAGTCGGAAACTTACCTGCTTGGTGGTGCATTGCTGTGAGAAGGATGCATACCGGTTGATGGAGCTGATGTGGCGGATGAACCGAAAGTCGAGCAGCAGTGCCGAAACTACGTAGTAACCCGACATATGGGTTGGTGACACTCTCCCTCCTCGAAGACTCCACTACCGGGACTGCAAATGAACCTAGCTGTATGGACGACTAGGTGCGTTCACATGTAAAAAGGAGGAGACAAACGGGAGACTAAATATGATGATGGAGTATGTGCGGGTGTGTGAGTGCGGATGGGAGTGACAGAGAGATCGATGAGAGAAGGGAGGAAGGGTGGTGTTAACTTAGTCAAGGCAGTCTTGCAATTGACGGTTGCTACAACAAATAACTCCGGCGAGGTGTACTCTTTGTTGTTGTGTGTTGTCTGTTGCCACTACTGCTGCATTGCCCTGACAACCGAGGATGCTGCCTGCATCTTGTTGATGAACTAGTTTGAGTCACTGTGCAAACGACACCTTATCGAGGTTTGACTGGGCATTTGCGGCCTGTGTCTTGTGGGTTTGGACCGGATGCGACTGTGTTTTTCGTTGTGCACCAGATGTGGCCCTGCTCCTAGCGTTGTGCACTGCATGGCACCTTGCCGCTGCGTTTGCTACGTGCACACCCGTATTTGGACAGAGCACGAAGAGGTGGGGGTGTGCGCTATTTAAACACAACCGTTCTAGGTTGCGTGGCAATAGTTTGATCAGGTAGAACGACATGCGACTTGAAGGTAGAAGGGCAAGCTATGCAAGGGGGTTATTGCTGGGATTTGGGGGAGTCGCTAGAGAGTCAACAACTGGCAGTCGGATTTTGGTTGACGAAGCTGCTGCTGTTTGGCCATCATTGCAGGGCGCTTAGGCGATTGAAGATTACAATGCCCTCTCCTGCGAGTTGAGTTTTTTTCCATCTCCTGTGTCTCGAGAGTCTGAAACCCCTCCTTCTGTCTTTCTTACTTTCGGTCTAATCTTGTTCTGAGAGGAAGGCGGCAGGCGGGATTGCAACTCGTAGGACCGCAGCAAGACTCAATGGGGAGTCAGCCCACCAATTGCGGGAGCTCTGTCGGAACTCAGGAGGAGTTTCGGAGGCAGGGAACCAACAAGTATATTTTCTTCTATCAGTATGAACCCACTATACCTCTGTCTGACTATCTCCTTTTAGTTTGACTGTTGTATGTTTGTGTTCCCTTATGATTTTTGCTTTCTCTTCAGAATTCAACCAAACTGAAAGCAAGGAATGTTTGTGCATGAAGCTTAAGTTTCTCTTTATTTTGACTAAAAGCATACTAAGGGATGAACTGGGGGAAGGTGGGAGAAAGACAGTTTTGCATGCGTTTGACCGAGTGAACCAAGGATTGGGCATTGTTTATAAGCTGAATGGCCCAGGGCTGTGTTTATTTAACTGTTTTTTGAAGAACCAGACATTGTCTCCAAGTTGAATGTCCTGGTTTGTGTGTTTATTTTTGAGGGTTTGCCTGACTAAAGGGTTTAATCTTGTGTTTCATTCTGATGGAGGATTTCTGATTTAAGGTTAAGCATTGTTTCTAAGTTGAATGGTTTAGTCTGAAAACCACATACATAAGTATAAACCGAGTATAACGGAAAATACCTTATTTATATTTGCATGTGAACTGACAGTTGAACATTGTTTCTAAGCTGAATGGTCCGGCGCTAAGCCATATCACTAAGAAGATAAGGAAAACCACAAAATATAATTGGACATAATCTAGGCAAACTGAGCATTGTTTCTAAGACGAGTGGCTCAATCCCCTACCCATATTTTCATTTATTTTTTAGAACAAAATCAGAAATTATTAATTTTGGTTATTAAACAATTCAGGGTGACTATACATTGTTTCTAAGCTAAATGGTCTAGTCATATGCCCAAAGAAGAGAAAAGTAATCGTGCAACCTGTTCGTGTATATCATAAGGCAGGCTAGATATTGTTTCGGCCGACCTACCTTTGGGAGGGAAAAGTAGTTGTGCAACCTATTCGTGTATACTACAGCGAACGAGCAAACGACCTCGGTTGACCTACCTCTGCAATTGCATTTAAAAACTTTCGCGCGTGGGTCAGTAGCTCGGTAGGGATACGCCCCTAAGGGTGGTGACAGCCCCTTAGGGAGGGAAAGCTTATGCCCCGCAGAAACCTATCATGTCGTAGGGGACCGTGGGATGTACAGCTGGCGCACCCGGCTCGAGCGGTGATGGAACGACGCGACCCCGATCGTCTCGGCGGCTCGTGGGATGTGTTGCGTCGTTCCTAAATTATCTCTTGTTTTGTTTTGTTTCTCTTGCGTGACATGGTTAGGAGGGCTCTCACCTTTGCAAAAAAGGCGAGAGCCGATGCGCTCGACAAGTGGCATCGTTGTCGGGGATAACGACAAACTACCGTTGTCCCTGGCGGAACGACACTCGGGTGGTTGATCGAATAAAAAGTTATTTTTCTTTTGTTTGATCTTATAAAAAGTCAGTAATTTGATCTCAAAGGGAATAAGGAAAAAAAAAAGAAACAAAAAGATATGAGAAGTATTAATTGAAATTTTCAAGAAGACTGACTAGTTCCTGAAAATGTGTTGTTGTGACCTTGTTCACTCAAGATGGCTGGGATTCAGGACAACAACAACAATCAGAATGAGGGAAGAAACGACATTCGGGAGCTTGCGATAATTATTCAACAGTCTCAGAAGGAGCAGTTTCCAAAGGTCGAAGTTCTTTTATTCGACGGTAACAATGCTTCCGCCTGGCATACAAGTTTGAACAGTTGAAAAACTGTTACGAATGGTCGAATGAGAAGATGTTGCGGATGATAAAGAGGTATTGTAAGGTGGATTACAAGGAGGAGGTGAAGGAGTTGGTGCGAGATTCGCGGGAATAACAAAAGTTTAAAGGAAAGTTGTTAGAAAAGTATCAATTGGGTGACCAGTTGCTGGACTTGGCAGACTTGCGGAAGATTAGCCGGCGCAACTTCGGGACAACAAAGCAGTTTTTGACGGAGTTCAAGCGGGTGGCGCGATTGGTGCCCGACCTCCCAAATAAGGATTGTTGCCTTATTTTCCTGGATAATTTCACGGAGGTAAAGCAATGAAATTGGTAAAGGGCATGAAGGAGCGGTATGATTGGCCAAAAATTCGAGAGAATTTGTTGGTCGGGAACTTCTACCAGATCCTCTATCGGTTGCTGAAGCAGCAGAAGGAGGATTGAGAAAGAGTACACTTGGGAGTGGATAAGGA